TTTTGTTCTTGAGGTGTTGGAGTGTTCTATAAATTCTAGAGATAAGTCCCTTGTCAGATATGTTATTACCAAATATTTTTTCCCAATCTGTAGGTTCTCTTTTGACTCTTTTGGAGAAGTCTTTGGAAGAACATAAAAATTTAATTTTTAGAAGGTCCCAATCATCTGGCTTCTCTTCTGCTATTGGTGCATTTTGAATTATGCTTGGTAGTCTATTTATTAATTCTGGTCATTTTTGTGTTTTTGAATTTTATTGCACATTTTTCCTCCCACCCTATTCAGGTTCTCCAATTTTGATCCCTTTCAGAGTAATTGGCATTAGTAGCTGGGCACCATCTAGTCCTTCTGGTCTCAGGGTCATGAAGGCTGAGGTCCTCCTCATGGTCCACCATATCTTTATACTAAATTTATTGGGTGCTCACTACCTACTCAGTAATTATGCAGATAACTATTCTTCCTCAGTAATATTTTGTCTTATTTTATATTAAATCATTGTCATCACCAATGCTATTGAAAAAACTTACATCTTTTTGAAATATGTTTGCCTATGTACATAACAACATTAAAAAAAAATGCTGCCATCAAATCAACCAACTCATGGAGACCCTATAGAACAGAGTACAACTACTCCATAGGGTGTCCTAGACTGTAATCTTTACAAAAGGAGATTACCACATATTTCTCTCATGGTATTGTGGATGGTTTCAAACTGCCAACCTTTTGGTTAGCAGCTAAGCACTTTACCCACTGTGTCACCAGGGTGCCTTCGTTACACTATAACCCAAATCAAACCAAACCCACTGTCACATGTCATTGTGACCCTATCCAAAAGAAAAAAGAAAAAAAAAAAATCCACTGCTATCAAGTCAATTTCAACTCATAGCAACCCCCATTGGGTTCCAAGGACGTAAATCTTTATGGAAGTAGATTGCCCAGTCTTCCTTCCACAGAGTGCTTGGTGAGTTTGAACCGCCAACCCTCTGGTTAGCAGTCAAATGCCTTAAGCACTGTACCACCAGAGCTCCTTAGTGACAGAGTTAAACTGTCCCTTAGGGTTTCCAAGGCTGTAAATCTTTACAGAAGTAGACTTCCTCCTCTTTCTCCCATGGAGCAGCTGGTGGGTTCAAAGTGCCATACTTTTGGCTAGCAGCTCAATGTTTTAACTACAGTGCAATCCAGAGTTCCAGAAATACATTATAAGTTCTAATAATTTAAAGACATTTGTCTATATTGATCATTGATATATCCCTAACTCTTATAGCAATGCCTAGTCCATAATAAGTGTCCAATAAATATTTAGTGAATAAGTGAGTTTAGCTAGTCAAAATTAACATGGAATTGATCTTAATCTTATCAGTTCATGTGAGCTACAACTAAGTGCTTATCCTTCAATCACCCATATACCAACAACTTGGAAACAGATCATAAAAGGCCCTGTATGAATTTAATTAGCAAATCTACCCAGTGTTTCAGATCAGAATTAGAAAATCACATTAAAAAAAATTAAAAAAAAACCTTTCCCTAGCCAGCAGAAATTATCTGACTGATATTGTCCACATACCTAACAGTAAATTTGTCAATAAAAGTAGAGTTACTACTTATAGGAACTTTATAAAGAATATATAATCACCTTCGTAAATGTGGAAAATGTACACCTGAGTACTATCTAAGAGAGAGAACATCCCACCCATTGGATTTTGAATATTTCTAGTCCTAGTAGCAAAGTCATTTCAGAAGGATACAGAGGATTTCAGCCAAAGACCTTTGAGTTTTCTGGTATCCTTGGCAAGTTCATTCCTTGAATGAGATGGGTGCATCAAGCCATGTTAGCCTGATACCACTAACATTCCATTCCATCATATCCTCCCGTTCTGATTCCACACTCACCAGGCAACCTTCTCATTGTGATCTGACTTCTCATGTAGGTCTGCCTACAGGAGGGGAATATACTGCTTCTATGAACTTTGATCATTTGATAGCTCTCGGTGAATTAATAAAATGACTCTTGATTTTGATTTTGCTGTCTATTTTGGATTACAACGGGGGTGGGGGGAAATGAGCCTGTTGTGAGAGTTATTTTAGATAATCTGAGACAATCTATCAGGTTAGACACTCTCATTCCTGGATACTGGCTGAAACGGGAAACTCTAGGCCCTCAAAATGAAGACTAGATCCTAGAGAGTGCCAACCTAATTGACTTACAACCCCACAAGTTCCAGCCTCGTTCTAAGCAGTCTTCCCTAAGCAAAGTTATACCACTTTTCAAATAATTTCTCCTGATTTCTGAGAAACTACTATTAAATTAACTGAAATAAAGATTGTGAAAAGTACTTTGCAAACTAAAAAGCACATTAAATGGATTAAAATATTAGCTATTATTTTAAGAATGATATTTATACTTTTACTGTCAAACACAATAATTTATTTGTCTGAATTAATTTCTTAGTGTCAGGGTTATCTGTCAGTTAAAGATAAAAATATCTTCATTTCTTATAACTTGTGCTTCCTAATAAGGAATGGAACTAAATTCACCCATATGAACATAATGACAATTGCACTCATGACACATCTTCTTTCTTAAGCTGGCAAATGTTTCTTCTTCGTTGTTAGAACTACAAACAAAACACTCCCTGATTATTCAGTCCTAATTACTCCTTGTTTAAGTAGCTCATATTTTATGGTTACCATACTTCTTTCCTGTGCTCTGTTATAACAAGTGAAAATAACCCAAGACAAAGCCTTGAAAGGCAAGTAGAGTCAAATTCCTATCTATGATTAACTCAGCATTTTTAAAAGAGGAACATTCTTTTCCTCCTATACTCAACCTTCTCAAGAGTCAAACTGGAGGTAATTTCATACACTGATGAGAATGTAAGTCGGCATACAAATGCAAACCTATTCTTAGAAAATTTCATTTTCTAGGTTTCATGCATTTAAAATTTGCAAGAAATCAACACTGAGTCTATTCTGATAGAAGTCATATCTGACAATAAAAGTCTTTCTTCTTTGTTTTTCAATCAGTCCTTCAAATTAATGAGACATCACCTTACATTATTACAGATCTGTTCTTTATTCTTCTTGATCAATAACACAAAGAGGATAGATGTTCCAGTTAGAATAAAATATAATTAAACAGAAGTACATAGTAAGTGTTTAATAATATCCATTTCCATCAAATTGATGCACAACATAAATTTCACTGAATATATCAATAAAGCATCTTAAAAACTGTGATAAACTAATAATCAAGTATAAAAAGATATCTTTTACCCCAATAGGAAATGGAGTTTCATTTTCCAGCATTGAGGTTTTGGATCTTGGCCTGGTAGTTATCTTTGGAACAGTTCCTATTGAAGGATTACTGGAAAGAGGCTGCAATCGAATTGGAGGCTGCATATTTCCTGGTGCAGTATATGGTCTAGGGGCTGTCTGGACAATTAAGAAGAAAAAAATCCATTTTAGTTAGTATCTTGACATGTCTCCAGAACCAATTAATAACCCAACAAATTGCCTAGAGTAATTAATGTGCCTTTTTACTGAACAGATTAAACTTTAATTATGTCCTTCCATTTTACATACCCTTATGACCCAAAGTATTTGTTAAAACATATGGTGTTGGAGCCCTTTACATAACAGAATGCCACAATTATAGAGTATTCTAGACAAAAGAGATGTCCTCTCTTGCATTCCTGTATTTTTATGCATACTATAAACTCACAGACAATATCTAATTAATACTGTACAGAGAATACTTTTGCTCAATTAAACATTAAGTTGAATAACATTCCTATTTTGGAAGTCTAAAGGGATATGATTAGAATGGACTCATTTTTATTTCAGTGTTTTCAACATAAACTCTGCTGTGAGTTCTTTAAGCCTTATGATTACTGCTGAAGCAAAAGCAAACAATATGACTCAAACAAAAGAGGAAAAGTGGATGTTTAAATATAGTGCATTTATTCAACCTATTCCTTGAAACATTCACAAAACAAAAATAAAAAATGGTAACTGGCCACTTTGGAAGACAAAAACGATGTTTTATGTATTGGGTTGTTTCCATTTGTCTCTCTAGATCTACTGTCCTCCCTAGTTTCTACCCTGCTCTGAGCCCTGAGGGTCATATCTTTATGGACTACACTCACCTCAGGATTCCAACTGGATTCAGCCAATGAGAGGCATGAGCAGGAGATCAAAGGACAAAAGGAAGAGGTTGAGGTCTTAATTCTCCTGGACTTTGCCTACCAGGGTTTTGGTGGGCCAGCTGGGCCTCTCCCTCTACCACAGTCCACAGCTCCTGTTGGGAAGCCCTCTTTTACAGATACTCTCTGCTGGTCCTAGTATCCAACCTTCCCCCTTCTTCCTTGGACCTTGGTGATGTGGCTTCTTAATCCAGTCTATGTCTTTGTAATGGCTTCTTTATTAAACACTTGCTAATTACCCTATTTGTGTGAGCCATCTGTTTCCTGCTGAGACCCTGACTGGTGCATTTTCCAAACAAGAATGTTCTGCAAAGGATACCAAAAGTGTCAGTACACAGCATTGGCAGCGCCTTTTGAGGCACTGACAGAATATTTTAATTTTAGCATAAAGATCAGCAATGTTTCAAAGGTGGAAAATTGAGCTTTTGGGCCTAGTTGTTCTATAACCACAAGGTAGTATAAACCCATCAAGAAGAAGATATGCATGTTTGGGCAAGAGGGTTTGAAAGATGGTATATAAGGCTTAATACATTGACTTTAAAGAAATGTAATGGTGAACAACAAATATTCAACCCTGGAAAACTGTATGCACATGCATAAGAAATGAAGATTAGATAGCTCTTACTACCAAAATCAGTTTTAGTGTATCTTTGAAAAGCATGTCATATGTCATGAACTCTCTGATTTTGTTAAGTCAACATTCACTGAATTCCCATTATAAGCACTGAAAGGAGATGAAAAGTAATTTTTTACACCTAATGTTGATGCAAGAAAATTAGAGCCAAATGAACCACACAAATACTGCCAAATAGATGACAATAGCAAAATACTGAGGAACTAACAGAACTTAGAATTTCCTAGAATATTTAGAGTAGGCCAATGAGGCAAGTAAAAATTAAAGTTTCACAGAAGCAGTTAGGTTTTATCCAAATGGTTAAGCAAGAGAATAAAACAGATGAGCAAAATTAAAAAAAAAAAAATGCAAATTTCAACATCTAAGTAAGAGAGCTTAAATATCAGTTGTAAGAAAACATGGGAAAGTAGTAAAGATAACAGTTATTCCCCAATGAGTTTTTGTTTTCTTTGCTAGTAATAGAGTTTTTAGCTGGCAACATGACTATGCTAAATAAATACTGTATTTCTCAGCATCCCTTTTAACTCTGTGTAGATGTGTGCCTTAGTTTTGGCCAATAAGATACGAGCAGAAGTGATATATGAAACTTACATATCGTGCCTCCACTTTCACCTTTCAACCCTTCTGTCTGGTTGAAATATCCATATAGTGATACACCATCTTGGTTAATGCAGATGAAAGCAAAACCCTAATTTTGGCAGATCAATGGCATGAAAAGAGTCTGGGTTCTTGATGGCTTCATAGAGCAGAGATGTCACACCAGCTGAGAGTTTTATATGTGAATGTGTTGTGGTGAGAAGGGGACACTTAAGTTTAAGACATTGCTATTTGGGGTCTACATGCAAACCTGCATCACTACTGATACAGGAAGACAACTGGAGTGACTAGAGTGACATTTGATTCAAAGAAACTGGATATAAGCACATATGGGACAAAAAGTGAAAAGTTTTAAAACCCACAGGAGAAAATAAACTAAAGGTTTCTGTACAAGGGAGTCAGATTACCCAACAGATTTCTTTTGAAATCTGTAAACCAAACGTGATTTAAGACTCTCTATTGTCAAATAATCCAATTGAACACAGAAACAGTGGAAATCTCATATAAGAAATCAAGAAAGGAGCTACAGCAAACTAGAACATGATCTATTGGTGGTTGTGTTCTAAATTTTATTTCCCCACATTTGCATACAAATATCATTCAGTTAGATGAATGTGGCAGTCAGATGTTTAACTGATTACATATATCTCTAAAAACAAATCCATGCCATTAGCAAACAGCTGTGAGCTACAAACTGTTCTAGTATACATCAGATACTACCTTAAATTTGCTATATTTTAAATTGTTCATAATATATTTTCTTGGAATAAACATGGCATTGTAGCTTAATGCTCTCAAAACTATACCAGAATGTGAATTGAATTTGACTACCTGGTGATTACTCAGCTTAGCTGAGTGCTTCTATTTCTTAGTGGAAGATCTCTAGGGGTGAATTTTCCAAGTGGATTTAGCTGAATGACTTTCCACAGTTTTAATGAGAATAGTTTGGCTACAAGATTATATGCTATTTTGAAAGTTTAGGAGCAATTAGTGATAACCAAGTACAATAACTATTCACCGGATGCTTTCCTTATCCACTCAAGAAAGTTTAAAAAGAAAAATCTACACCAATATCCCCAAAGGATTATTATCTCAATGGCAAGTAGAGGTCAGGGGTCAAATTCAATGGATATAAAGGTGGAAAAGCAAAAAGAAAAGATCTAAATTTCTATAAAATGGGAACTACAATTCCAAAGCCTTAGTAGATAGCCCTCATGGTGCAGATGCACTGTAGGGGTGGCCAAGTGAGGAACTGTGGCTTTGCAGATGGAAAGGCTTTTGAAGTGCTGGTGTCAGTGTTTCCTGTAATTTTTAAATTACTTTCTCACTCCAGCCACATTAAGATCTCCTGGATGTATCATAAACTATTTATTGAGGGTGCTCAACTGGAAAATTGAAAAGAAAGCCTTTCAAGGGTTTTTCCTTGCTGAAACAGGTGAGAAGAGAGAAAACAGCACTTGATTGTTTCTTTTGTTTCTCCCGGGTTAAGCTTTTGAGAGTCTAGTGAATTTTCCATCTCATGATTATTTGTATACATAATATATATTCAAATCAAACCCAGAAATACAGTAACAACAAAAGGAAGATAGTTGCTTTTCATAACTTGAGTTATTCATCGGGAAATATGAAAACATATTTACCTTTTGAAAAATGTCAAAGCTTGGCACTATATATGATGAATCTGCTTTTTCAGTCTGGGAAAGCATTATGGTTTCTCTATAAATATTGTGCAATCCAAAAAAATGTGCATGCTAACAAGGAAATATATTAGGCTACACAAAGAATAAAGACATGATCAAGCAATTCATTTACAACGTAAACCATCAATCTACAGTGAATATTTTGCAAATTTTTTCCTATATTTTATTCTTTCCACGTTCCTTCTTTCAAGCAAACTACACCTTTAGATTATAAAGGAATCAAGCTGGACTACAATGTCAGTATGAAATTTCTTTACTTAGAATTTCTGCACATTTAATTATTTTTTATCTTAGAGTTTGTGCACATTCTTTTGATAAAAGAAACAAGTTTTAATATCTGGACCAATATATTATACTATACCACTGAATCTCTGTGCATAAAGTAGCTTTCCAGATAAGGTGGGAGTAGAGGAAACGAGAACAATATCCAGACGTCATTAACTATAGAACATGTATGTTTAATTTTTCCTGCCTTGTAGGGTGCTAAAGGGTAATCGTGGGGAATAATATTGGATCTCTAAATTGGAGTAATGTGGTTTAGGCTCTCAAATGTCAGATGAAAGAGTCTAGACTTTTCTATAGGTGACAGAGAGCCAGTGAAAGTATTGGGGCATGTAAGTGGCATAAGAAATGCACACTTCAAGACAAGTAATCTAGCATTAACATATGAAATGGATTTGACATGGGTGATATTGTTGGGGGCAAGACTTCAGTGGAAACACAGGGAACAGATATAAATAAGACAATGTTTTCATTTAGTAGGATTTTCAGGATTCTACTGACAGGTTCCCAGAGAACAATTTTTCTGATACTAATTAAATCTATAATTAATTAGTTGAGATAGTGCATGACAGAGTGCTTTATATTACTCACCCGTGTTAACGGACTAGAATGTAATTCATCAATCAGAACACTTTGTCCCAGGTTACTCTTCTGGCCAACTGGTGGACGAGGAGACAGTATTGGCATGTTATTTTCTATAGACTGTTTGGTGGGGTCCTGCTAGGGGAAAAAAAAGTGATTCAGAGAAGAAACCAAAACCAAACCCACTGCCACAGAGTCAACTTCAACTCATAGTAACCCCCTTTGGGTTTCTGAGGTTGTAAATCTTTATGGAAGTAGATTGCCCAGTCTTCCTTCCATGGAGTGGCTGGTGGGTTTGAACCACTGACCTTCTGGTTAGCAATAGATGCATAATTAAAAATTAAGTTCATTATAAGACATACTATGGGAGCTCTGGTAGCATAGTGGCTAAGGCACTTGACTGCTAACCAGAAGGCTGGTGGTTCAAACACCCCAGCCACTCCTCGGAAGGAAGATGGGGCAATCTACTTCCATAGTGATACTGCCTCGGAAACCCAAGGAGGGGTCACTATGAGTTGGTCTGACTCGATAGTACATAACAACAACAACATATGATAGAAGAATCTTTTCAAAAGCGTCACTTCTGAGGCTTATCATAGTAGAAGTTTTCCAAGCTGCATTGAGAAGTGAGGTATGGGGGTGAAGGGCAGAAAATTGAGTGCTTTTTGTTGTACTCAGAGAAACAGAAACAGTATATCTTCACTTTTAACAATAATATATTTCTTAATCTGCTTTGAGCAGATTGCTATAAAAGGCACAATACTCTTCACTAGTCTGAGCAGAAGAGAATACCAGGGCACATTATTTTGCTACCTGAAAAAATAATCAAATAGCTTTCACTTGGGGTGATGAAAAACTTTTGGAAGTAGATATTGGTGAAAGTTGTGCAACATTGCGAATGTAATGAATACCACTGAACTGTACACTTAAAAATGGTTTACATGCAAAAGTTTATGTTATACATAGTTTACCACAATGAAATATAAAAAAAGCATTAAATAAGACCATAAACAAAAAAGAGAGATATAATAAATAAAGAGAACCTAAAACATATCTTTCCCTAGATGCATCTATAACGTAAAAACTATTGCAAATAGAAATCATACAGGGAGGAACTGGAGTGTCAGTAGTGATCCTCTCTTAATCTGTAATATGACCCTGTAGCTAGGTTTGTGTTTCTGGTAGTGTGGATGAGGGTGAATGAAGCATAGATATATAATAGTTGTTTCAGGCAGTGCTGGTTACCCTTCAATTCCAGCAACCATTTTTCTCCATCAAAATTCCAACAGATAAATTACAGAATATATAACTCAGTCCTTGATATAGGACAATATCTGCAAAGTTGAAATAATACCAAATCTCTGCACACCAGGTTCTCTGATCTTGAAAAACTGACCTATCTTCTATTATATAACAACAGTTTTATAACATGATTATCTTTTGACCATGATAGAATGAACAGATTTGAGTCTATCAGGCAAAAGGGAAAAATTATAGTCTTATATAGCCAGTTATTCCACAGAAGCTTTAAAAATATTCATCAGTTTGTGAGATACGATTTAGCCCTCACATTTGTAATACTGCACAGAAAATTAAAAACAGTATGTGAGTCTGAATGACTCAAGAAATTGAGTTAAACTGCCAACCTAAATGGAAACATTTCATACTTGCCCAATTGAACTTCTCAGCTGTTGATTTAAATTTATATATTCCATAAGTTCCCTGCAATGAAGGGACATGAAATAGAAAACTAGAAACCAAGTAAAGAATTCAAAAATGCCCCATTCAGACATAACACAAACCCAATCTGGATTCCATCATCATTCTTTAAAGAGACAAATAATAATAATAATAATAATAATAATAATAATAATAATAATCACCAACTTTATATGCAAAGGAAAGAGATGCCAGATAAGCAAATCACTACCAAAGAAACAAAATAGGAGGCTTTACACTTCCCAGTCGCAAAACCTACTATACAGCCACAGTAGTCAAAACAGCCTGGTACTAGTATACTGACAGACACAGAGGATCAATGGAACAGGATTGAGTTCACAGAAGTAAATCCATCCATCTATGGAGAGCTGATCTTCAACAAAAGGACAAAGTAAGAGGGAGTCTCTTTAACAAATGGTGCAGACAAAAACTGGATGTCTATTTGCAGAAAAATGAAATAGGATCCATAATTCACACCATATACAAAGGCTAACACAAGATGGATCAAAGAGCTATAAAAAACTTCAACACCTCAAAAAAAATCCTATTAAAAATGAGCAGAGGACATGGACAGACACTTCACCACAGAAATAATACAGGTGGGCCAAGAAACACATGAAGAAATGCTTCCAATCATTAGCCATGGTTGTTGTTAGGTATGTTGAGTTGTTTCCTACTCATAGTGACCCTATGTGCAAGAGAACAAAACACTGTCTGGTCCTTTGCCATTCTTCACAATTGTTGCCATAACCATTCTCACAGCTGTGACAATTCATCTCGTTGAGGCCTTCCCTTTTTTTGCTGACCCTCTACTTTATCAAGCATGATATTCTTTCACAAGGAATTGTCCCTTTTGATAACATGAACAAAGCACAAGAGACAAAGTATGGTCATTCTCACTTCTAAGGAGGAGTCCAATTGTACTTCCTCCAAGACAGATTTATTTATTCTTCTAGCAGTCCACAGTACATTCAATATTCTTCATTAACACCACAATTCAAATGAATCATTTCCTCTTTGGTCTTCCTTATGACTCGAAGGCACATAACAACAACAACAACAATATTCATTGTTTAGCTCTCACATGCATATGAGGCTATTGAAAATATCATGTCTTGGGTCAGGTGCACCTTAGTATTCAAAATGACATCTTTGCTCTTAACACTTTAAAGAGGCCTTTTACAGCAGATTTGCCCAATGCAATACATTGCTTGATTTCTTGACTACTGCTTCCAAGGGCATTGATTGTGGATACAAGTAAAATGAAATCCCTGACAACTCCAATCTTTTCTCTGTTTATCATGATGTTGCCTATTGGTCCAGTTGTGAAACTTTTTGTTTTCTTCATGTTGTAGTATAATCCATACTGAAGGCAATTGTTGTTGTTGTTACATGCTGTCGAGTTGGACCCAACTCATAGTGACCCCTCCTTGGGTTTCCAAAGCAGAATCATTATGGAAGTAGATTGCCCAACCTTGCTTCTGAGAGGAGTGACTGGTGGGTTTAAACAGCCAGCCTTCTGGTTAGCAATCAAATGCCTTAGGCACTATGCTGCCAGAGCTTTGATAATCATCAGTAAGCACTTCAAGTCCTCTTCAGTTTCAGCAAGTAAGGTGGTATCATCTACAAATGTCAGGTTGTTAATGAATCTAACTACAATCCTAATGCCATGCTCCCCTTCAAATAATCCAGCTTTTCAGATTACTTGCTCAGGATATGGACTGAATGGATATGGTGAAAGAATACAACCCTGAAACACACTTTTCCTGATTTAAAATCATGTATTATCCTCATGTTCAGTTCAAATGACTGCCTCTTGGTCTATGTGTTGGTTCCTCATGAGTACAATTAACTATTTTAGAATTCTGATTCTTTACAATGTTATCATAATTTGTCATGATCCACACAGCAAATGCCTTTGCATAGTCAATAAAAAACAGGTAAATATTTTTATGGTATTCTTTGCTTTCAGCAAAGATACATCTGACGATCTTCTAGGAAGAACGAGGCAAGATGGTGGACTGGGCAGAAAGACTGCACAGACCCTCTTCAACAAAGAAAAGGGAAATCAATTAACACAGACACAGAAGATAATCCTGGACCCCTGAGCCTTGAAGGGAA